TCTACCACCTCAATGTACTGCCCGGCCACAGCCCCAAAGTAGTGGAGTCAGGGACTGAAACCTCGAGACTCCAAAATAAATCTTTTCTTTTTTATAAGCTCATTACCTCCAGTGTTTGTTACTTAAGGGAAAACTGACCAATACACCCATGCAATTGTCTGGGGGTAAAGAGTAGGATTTAAGTGAGTGGCATTCAGGAGCACTAGGTTTATGACCCTGGTCAAAATATGTATATAGATGTTCACTACATTCCCATTTCTTTCTTTGTAAATGGGGATGTGACAGTTAGCACATACAGCCTTTAGGAGAAAGAAATTAGACAAAATATGCAAATCACTCATTCCAGTGTGTAGGGCATAGAAAGTGCCTGGTAAAGGAGAACAGTGGGAAATCTCCAATGGTACTGTGGAGACCATGCACCATCACCCAGTGCCAGAAAGATACCTCCTGTGGCTTAATCACCTTCTCATGAGGAGTTTAGTAAACTCATAAGCACACTAATCTCAGTTCAGAAATTAACTAATAGGGTAACTCCAGGGAATTCTCTAACCTTTCTGAGCTTTGGTTTTCTATTCTAAAAAATGAGCATCACAATAACACCGATTTCACTGAGTAGTTGGGAGTAAATGAAATGACTGATGTTTAGATTCATAGCACACAGTGGGCTATCATTCTCCACTACCATCTTCAGGATGTTTCGCCTCTGTGCTGAGCTGTGTCACTGCTCCTTGTAACGCTTTTGCCCCACGGGGGAGAATGTGTAACTTGAAAGGGTTACTAATCCCTTAAAACCCTCAGATCGCAGATAGACTCATTTCCCGATCGTGCCACGTAAGCCAGTGATCTGGCTTTGAGGACCTGATCACACGCTGGGGACCACATGAAGGCTGCCACTCAGAGCTGTACTCCCGATCAAAGTGCAGGGCCTCTTCTGTCATGCACACCGGCAGCGCACTAAAGGACGCAGTGGAAAAGACACGCGTTCCCCAAGGAAACATCAGGCCCAGATCGAGTGCCTGATGTTATTGCTGGAAGGGTGGGAACCGCAGCTGACAGGAACAAAGAAAAGTGACGACTTAGTTACTATTTGAAGTATATACATATGTAAAGTTGGTATTTTAAAAATAGCCACATGAAAGCCATAAGCACATGAAAGCCAAAAAAGTAAATTTTTTGCTGAAAAGACGTTTCCAACCAGTCAATACGATTTAAACAATGATGAGCATTTTGTCAAATAAGAAAAAACACCGAGGGGTGGAAAATAAAGTGAAACATTTTTCCATTAATTTTATTGGTTCATTTTAGGTATACAATATACTGGCATTCATTATTGGGAATTTGTATTGCTGCTTCAGAAAATTCTACATATTTTATAAATTGAGAATTTATTTCATTACTTTTATTATGAAAGTAATGCAAGCATATTAGCAGGAAATAAAAATACACACAGGTGGGCTGGGGATATAGCTCAGTGGTGCTGCTACCTGCCTCACAAGTGCAAAGCCCTGAGTTCAATCCCTGTGAACCAGAAGAAAAGAAAAGAAAAAGAATCTCTATAATTTCATCTATTTAGATTAAAAAAAAAAACATTTTGGAGATTCTTTTTAGAAACTTTCTCAGTATACACTTATGTATTTTTAAAACAGAAAATGAAGCATCTCATATAAACTATTTATCTCTCTGGCCATGGATTTAGCTCAGTGGTTCTACTGTCTGCCTCACAAGCACCAGGGTCCTGAGTTTGATCCCAGGTACAAAAAAAAATAATAATTATTTATCTCTCAACATAAATAGATTTATAATTTTTAATGTTGACTATTTTGATTCTAAATTTTTTGCTACTAATAAACATCACAGAGCAGAAATAACTAGACAAGAATAATGAGACAAGAGTAGAAAAGAATGTAATTTCTAAAACTTGAAAAATAATCCTGAAAAGTGGACAAAACTGCTTAGAGATTGACAAGATCAACCTCCAGGTATATCAAAAGTATTCACAGAGTCCTTAGAAACACCCGGTTTTGGTCAAATTACAATTTTAATTAAATTGACATCTCAACGAACTTGATTTCTTATCAAGGTGACCACTTCTTTGTTTTTTCCCCTTCCGGCCCCTCTCCAGTTGCTGTCCATTTTGCATGCCATGACATATCATCCAGGCATTATCTGGCCAGCCCAACACTCCCTTACCTTCTTTCCTTTGAAACATCTGCGCTGCTAATTCCTAGTTTTTCATTACTCCCACCATTTACTTCCTGCCCTCCTTCCTCCTGCCTGCAGAGCACTGTTGTGGAAAAACATTCAAACTTTTTTATTTAGGGACTATGTTTGCTTTCCAGCCTCAACTAGACAAGCCCCTTGTTTTGTCCTTCTTTCCAAACTATCATTTTATTTATGCTGCATAGTGACTGCATGGCTGAGTTACCCTCAGGTCAGCCTCAGATTCTGGGTCTATAAAATTAAAGGTAACAGTAATTACTGTTGGTAGGAAACGGGGCAAGAGTGATAGCTACCATGTACTAGGAGAAGAGGGAGGTGAAATTTTCTCTTGAGATAAAACTAAAAAGTTACCAAATAATGAACATTATTGCATCTATAGTCTGTAAACCAAAAAGTTGTCTGTGTGATTGAATAATTAGCAAACAAACACACAAAACTCCAGCCATAAAGGGAGGAAACGTAAGCAAACTGCGAAGTGAAGATACCAAGCTGCTTATGAAAAACTGGTAGACAGCAGATGGAAGTCCAAACAGCTCTGGGTCTCAGCAGCAGGGCCTCTGCGCACCCACCTGTGCTTTGACAAGGGGTTGGGGGAAGACCCAGGGCAAACACCTTCCATCTTTGCTCCTCTTTTTTATTCTGTTTACACACCATTGTCTGCTTTTTTTTCTTTATCAATGACTTCCTTCTGCTTCTTAAGTTTTCATTTTTACTTCTAACTTGTACAGGAGTGTAGCTCTTTTCATTTATTCTAACTTTTAAAGTAATACAAAAATTTTAATCCGTAAATTTTCTTCTTATACTGTTTTAGCTAAGACCTATGGGTTCTAGTGAGTCATTTTCAAACTTTTATAGGTATAATGCTACTTTGGCTTTGTTTTCCTTCTTGATTCAATTTTATTTAAGCGTTTAAAATTTTCAAAGAAATAGGAATGCTTTATTTCTTCTTTTGTCATTAATTTCTAGTTTAACTGAATTTTGATCAGATAATATTATCGAGAAGATTCTGCATATTGGGATATATTAAGATTTATCTCTGTGACCTAAATTGTGGCCAAGTTTTGCAAATGTTCCATTAAAATTTAAAATGATTTAATCTGCATTTAGGATACAGTGCTTGATAGATTAGATCTACATTAATTATATTTTCAGATCTTCTAAAGCCCCATTTCCTTTTTTGTGCCTTTAATCTGGCAAGGCTTGCACCCGTTATCTCTATTTATTCCGTTGTATAGTGACTGCTATGGGTAGCATAATTATGTTATTTACCATATAGATTTTCCTATTTTTTTCTTCATTGTGAATTGTGGCTTTTAACAAAACTTGTGTTTCTAACCCCTGATTTCTTTATATTTATTTGGCATACACTGGTACATCTTTTCCAGTCTTATTCTTTGAAACTTTTACTCAAGCAATTTCTCATATATAATATTATATATATGTGTTTTGGTTTGAGCTCCAACCCGAGATTGTATTGTTTTAGTAGGTAACCTTAGATCATTTATATTTATTCATGTGAGATTTTTGGTCTTAGTTTTGTCATCAGTTTTGTTTTGCTTTCTGTTTTATAACTTTTTCAGATACTTCACTCTGCTTGTTTTGTGGTAGTTGTGTGTGTAGGTTTGTTGGTCACTGGAAAGGTTTGCATTTTTGTTTTGGGTTGCTATTATAATTATTCCGTCACACGATGTCCTTAATCTTCTGTTTCTTTAGATCGTGTATTGCCACCCTATTATATTTCATTCTTTCCCCACTTTCCCTTCAGCACAATTTTATTTATCAGTTTGAAATACCTTTTTAGACTCGAACGTGCAAAAATCATCTTCCTGAGAAATTTCATTTTCTGTTGCCCTCCTAGCTTCTGTGATTTACACCATTTTAACTGTGAGGTTTTATACTACTCGCATTCTCTTCTGTAACCCTAGTTTCCTTTGTGTTACACTCACTTGAATGCCATGGCATTCTTTCGCAGAATGTCGCCTACGAAGATCTATGCTCACCTTTTGGAATATAAACGAATGGATTTTGAACGAATGAGAACCAGGGTCTACTTTTCTGCCAGAAAAGTGCGGGCTCGGACAGTTTCTTCTCTTCACCACCTGGGGTCACTGCCACACAGACTTTACAAAATTTCGAAACTGGAGCCACCGCGACACCTCTCGATCAAAGGGAGCATGCAGTGCAGTCCTCCCGCCGGCAGGAGGCAGTACTTCAACAGTAATACAGCGAGGCAGAGCGGTAGGGCGACCGGGGCGGAA